TATTGTACTGTACTCACCTTCTTCTTGTGAGGATATGAGATGATACCATGCCTATGTAGGGCCATTATTAAGTAAAATAAGGGTTATTTGAACACAAGCACTGCGATACCTCGACAGTTGATCTGATAATGCAGAAGGCTACTAAGTGACTAACGGGCGAGTAGTGGATACAGTGTGGATACGCTGGACAAAAGGATGATTCACTACCTGGGCAGGATGGTGTGGGATTTCATCACACTACTCAAAGTGGTGCACAATTTAAAACTTAAGAATTGTTTGTTTCTGGAATTTTCCATTTAATATTTTCGGACCACAGTTGATCATGGGTAACTGAAACCTCAGAAAGCAAAACTGCAGATAAGGGGAGGCTATTGTAGAATGGTGGTTGCCAAGGGCTGGGGAAAGTGAGGAATGGGGAGTTACTATTTCATAAGTACAGAGCTTTGGTTTGGGAAAATGAAAACATTCTGAAGATGGACAGCAGTGGGGGTTGCACAACAATACAAATGTACTTAATGCTACTGAATTGCACGCTTTAAAAGGGTTAAACATGGTAAATCTTACGTTATATATAGTTTACCACAATTTTTTTTAAAGGAAAAAAATAACAAGGGCTGGGAAAGGCAATGATAAAATGACAGGCCCAGGGCCACTGTTAGACCAGTTAGAACCAGGGAGCAAAGCAAGAAACCCTCTACCATTCAGGTTTATAGAGTCACAGGGCTCCACCCCCTTCTCAGAACGTCCCTGCCACACACTGAAGGCCAGATGGGCTGGCAGATATGTCAAAGCCGACTTAGAAACAACTCCTGGCTCAAGAACAAAAACCCTGAGGGCCAGCCCCGTGGCTTAGCGGTTAAGTGCGTGCACTCTGCTGCTGGCGGCCCGGGGTTCAGATCCCGGGCGCGCACCAATGCACCGCTCCTCCGGCCATGCTGAGGCCGCGTCCCACATACAGCAACTAGAAGGATGTGCAGCTATGACACACAACTATCTACTGGGGCTTTGGGGGAAAAA